GCTGTCTTAACCACTGGACCGCCAGGGAAGTCCCTCCATGGGGTATTGCTTCTTGATGGACAAGTCAGATCAGGCAGGTGAAGGTGAGGGTGGGACATGGGGCTGGAGGGTCCTCAGTGTATTTCCACCAAGCAGAGCGCAAGGGTCAGACTCCCAGGCCAAGAGGACCTTTCCTCGGAAGCAATTGGGTGAATACCAAAATATTGTGAATCTTCAACTCCATTTCATTACTGACACAAAACAACATCATTTCTTGTCAGGGAAAATTAGGAAACAATTGAGTGGGTTACATATCTATTTAGTTATTTTTTTAAAAAACCCTTTCTTTCCTTTACGAATATCATAAGATGTAATAAGTCGTAGAAAATGCAGAGAAAAAAAATGTCAGAAATCAACTGTGATCTTACTTCCTAGAGGAAACGACTTCATTCATTCAGTTCAGACATATGTAGAATATTTACAGAAATGATAAAATACGTCCTGTTTTTCCATTGATCGATTTGTCGGAATCCCTAAATGCCTCATTTCTCTCCACATGGAATGCAGTGTGTTGGCCGGTCCCTGTTTGTAGATTTGTAGGTGGTTTCTAGTAGTTTGGCGTTAAAATCTGCTCTGTGATGAAGATGACCGTGATCTGTTCTTCATATGATTTACATTCCTGATCATTCAGCCTGGAGCCATGACCAAGCGACCGGGTGTCATGAGGAACATGGTTGGACGCCACCTCTCAGACTTGACCTGTGACTCCGGACGTAGGCTCTTTGGTCCATTACGTGTCAGGTTTCCCTAGAATGGCCTTGGGAGAGTAGAGTTGACCTCTTCATGACCTCGCTCCCAGATGAGGAGAATAAGCTCTATCTGGGCTGTGGTTCATTGTCACCAGCCATAACTAGTTCTTTGTGTATGTGCACACACACGCACACAGTTTGACTCTAAGTTAGCGTGTGGCTTGTGGAATTAGTCTCAATAACTTGGCAGATATATTTGCCACGGTTTAACCTTAGAATACTGCTATTCATTCATTGGTTCGCTCAACATTTATGAAGTATATGCTACCTGTCAAACATCTGGCTAGCTCTACAGCTACAGATGTGGAGAGACACATTTATCACCCTCACAGAACTCAGGCTGAATGGGGAGCTGACATGTAAACAGGTGCTGGGATGCCCATAGAATGTCCTATGGGCTGAAACAGACGTGTGGGTGCACCGTGGGTAAGTCTGCTTGCCAGGGCCAGATATGAGCCCAGTCACACAAATGGGTAGGAATTTTCTGGGCACTCCAGGCAGAGAGGAAGCAGCCAATGAAGGCCAGTGGCCTGAAAGGGCTGGTGGGTGTCACTGCAGGACTGGCTGTGACAGAATGGAGTCCGAAAGGGTCAGACTCTGGAGCTCGATCGCCTGGGCGCACACCCTGTGATCCCAAGCAACTTACCTGATTTCTCTGTGCCTCAGAATCCTCATCTGTAGCACGTAACCCGGGACCGTACATTAACCCGTAGTGACACGAGTCAACATGTGTCGAGCACCTAGGACAGCACCAGCAGTCCTCAGAGCTCGTTAGCTTACCCAGAGCGGCGTCAGCTACTTCCTGTGACTTTGGCAACGTGACTCTTGAGGAGTTGTAGTGACCCACGCAGAGCTGAGATGTCGTTGGGACTCATCACTGGGTGATTTGGGGACCGAGGGGCTTGCGGAGGGGAATCCCGGACACAGACTCCTCGGTTGCTCTCGGAGCCTCGGGGGCTGGAGCTCCGTAATGAATTTCTTGCTGGTGTTCACTCTCCATGTCTCAGGTTCTGGGCTCCTGTAGTCAGAGGAGGTCAAAATAAAAAGGACTCTCCTCTGTGGGATGGGCAAACTCCTTCAGGCACTAGAGTTGATTTGCTGCCCTGTAATGGAAGCCCCCGAGCACCTGCTGGTGAACATGTCACTCATGGAAGAGTTGAGCATCCTTTTTGTCTCCATCCTCTCCATTCCTTCTCTTCCTCCGAACTCTGGAAATGTCAGCTTTATTTAGCTCAGAATCTTTTAGTGACACGTTTTCCCATGTTGGGGGCAGTTATCCAGGTGGGAGCCAGGTCACCTCTGCGTGTGTCATCCTTTCTGTACTGAAGGGATAAGTGTCCCCACTGGGGGGCAGTGGAGTCAAGGTTGGCTTTGCCTTTGGTCTCTGCTGAGGCCGGTTCCACAAAGATGAAAGATAACGTATAAGAGATAACAAAGGATCTAAAGATGGGAGCCACTGCTTTGTACACACACATTGTGTGTTTATTAAAACAATGCATTGTGGATTATTTAGTCACACATGAAAGCTTAAGATAGCCTTCATAGCAAACCACATGTTTCTCTTGCCAGTGCTTTACTTTTTTAAAAAATTGAGATATAATTGACAGATAAAATTATATTTGTTTCAGGTGTTCAATATAATGATTCAATGTTTGTATGTATTTCGAAATGATCGCTGCAATAAGTCTAGTTAACATCCATCACCACGCATTTGTTTTTCTTGTGATGAGAAGTTTTAAGATCTACTCTCTTAGCAACTTTCGAATGTATTCAATACAATATGCTGCTGTTAACTATAGTCACAGCGCTGTATGTTACGTCCCCAGGCTTTGCTTATTTTATAATAACTGAAATTGTGTACCTTTTGAGTGCTTCATTTTTAAACAATATGTTCATAGTTCACACTTTATCTGAGCTGGAGTAAAAGAAAATTGCAGTTTGTCCTCAACTAGCAAAATAATCCTTCTGAAATGTCCAGAATTAATCTATTATCTTGCCTGACCATTTCCCCTGTCAAATATGAAAAAAATCTATGCTTCTTCCGGCTAGAGCTTTCTTCCCAAGTGCCAAGGACTAATTCCCTTAAACTGACCAATAAAAAGGAGGTAACAAAGGTAGAGTATGCATTAGAATTTCTTCATTTCAGGGAGCTCTAAACGGCAACTGTAGATTTCCCCAATCTGCCCTTTTTTCCTTCTCTCTAGGGATGGAGTCAAATGTCCCTTCTCCTTTTTTCTGTTTCCTAATTTACACATCATACCAGAGAATTTATAGCACTGCTCAGGGTCAGAGCTGGATTAATGAAAGGAAAATTTAAAGAGACAGACCGGAAGAGAAGTTGAACAAGAGCTTAATTTCTTTTCCTACACAGGGTACATTGATTTCTCTCTCCTTTTCATGGTGTGTAAGATATTCAAAGGCTTGGGCGTGGCGTCATTTTGCTTTTTTGTGGGTAAACATAGTTCTAATGGTGAGAGCGGTAAAACTACTCATCCAGAGTGCTTTGCCGAAGTGACTCAACTCTGGACCTCTGAGTCATCCTTCGTTTGGTCCAAGCAGAAAAAGCCTCAATAAATACTGAAGTGCAGCAAGTTGTTAAGCCCCCAATAAACTTATTCATAATTTATGTGCCTCTTGATCTAAATATTTACTTTTAAGGGGAACAAAAAAGAGTTTTCAAAGACTAATTGTATGTCTCTTTATTTTCATACAGAAAACATCTCCTGCGAAGATCTGTAGGTAAGTTTAAAAAAAACAAAAAACAACTTCACAAACATCTAAAATAGAAGATTTAACCTGATATTAACTTCGATGAGAAACCGTCTGTTGACAATTCAAACTTGAGAGTTGACAGAGGAGTTTATTACAGACACTCACATATCCCTATTTTGTGTCTTATTCTCAAATTTGCTCTTTTTTTTTTTCTGAAATATTTTATCCCTAAGGGGAAAACAACTCATGCTAGATTTCAGCCATTGATGCCCAGAATTTCACTAAGAGTTGTGCAATACTGATGAAGAATGAAAATGGAAAAATGGAAGCGACTTAAAGTTTTAAAAATAATGTTTGATCCTCATTGGGTTTTTAAGAATTCCCATGGTGGAAAAGTACTGGCCTGCGAATCCACGGATCTGAGTCGTGGTCTTGGGCCACACAGCGCCGTGACCGTGGGCAGGTTTCATACCTCTCTGTGCCTCAGTTTCCCCAGCTGAAACGTGAGTTGGGCTGGACCTTCTGGCAGGTCCCTGTGCTCCTGTTGTGCTAATTCTGACCTGGATGCCTTGTCCTCCGGTGGCTTCCTGCTTCCTCGGCAGTAGTTGCGAAGCTCGGTCCTGAAGATAGAAAACCAGCAGAATGTTTTGATACGTGGATTTAGGACTTTTTGTTTCATATATTTCTGGGCTTTCATCCAATCTCCTTTTTTTGCCTTTATTACAGGCTGCTACTTGAAGAAAAAACAATCCCACTGTCAGGAAGCATCCTCTTGTTTAAAAGATTAGCGGGTGTTAAAGAGAGGCATTAAAACCCATTTATGCCTGATGTAATCAGGTGTTGCTCAAGGCCAAGTTGGGTGGGAAACCAGGGGCTGCCTCACACCTGGCACTTCTCCCCTCAGCCCTGAGGGCTTGTCTGCTTGAGGGGATCTAACGCTCATTGCCTGTGGATGGGGAAGCATCCTGCATCCTCTAAAGCCTCTGTCCACTGCAGGCAGACACCAAAGCCATGAGGGTTCTCCTCTCCCCACAGCCTACAGCCTGCCTATTCCTGTGCAGTCCCAGAAACCCTCCTGGACAACCTCCCTCCTCTCACCCCACCCTGACCTCCGAATCCCTCAGCAGTCGGGTGCCAGGGAATTGTCTCAAGGCTGTTTGAGTGTGTGCCTTTAAAGTTGGTGAGGCTATAGGAGTGGGTGGACTGGAGTGGTTAGAACCTGTCCCGTGTTGTCCTGCCCTTCCTGAGGCCCTGAGGCCCCAGCTCTGAGGATTCCTCTGTACCCATCCTCCTGCCTCAGGCCCAGCAGCCATGCTAGTCTTTTAAGGGTTACACACTATGTGTGATGACAACAGTGAGGACTCTGTGTGTGTGTGGGGGGGGGGTGTGTGGACAGAATTGATTAGCATCACTATTGCCAGTGTACTTAGGTTATGAGTATCAGGCTGTTGTGTATTCCGTATATATATGTAAGTAATGCAGAATTTGATATGTATGTAGAACATATGCTGGTGAAAATGCTGTATTCACTGCCCCCATTTACGTCTTTGATCCTTTGCTGTTTGCCGCGTAATGCAATGGTCAGAAGGGACCCAACCCTGAATATGTTGTTGCGTCACAAAATGGAAAGAGGGGGAAAGAGCATGTGGTCCTTTGGGTTTTGTGTTTCCTGGTGCCTTTCTTTAGGAGGAGAGAATGATTGGCAAAAGCTATAGGCCAAGATATTTTGGTATATGAAGCCCATATACCATCTAAAAACCACTGATTTCTAAGCCAAAAAGGATCTCCAAATCGACTTTCTAATGAATGAGAAAATGTGAAAATATCGTGATCGGCAATGTTACTTTTTTGTGCAAGAATTATAAAAAGAACCTTTTATTATGGAAATTTCTAAACAGATATAAAAATAGACAGAACAGTATAATGAAGCTCTGTAGACTCATCCCCCAGATTCAACAGTTTTCAACTTAAGCCTCTACCCAGCACCTCATTTCAGCAAATCCCAGGCATTGTAGCGTTTCAGCCATAAATATTTTGGTATGTATAAGAGATTTTTTTCTAATGAAACTTTTTTTTGTTTGTTTTATTTTATTATTATTTTTTTTGGCCACGCTTCGTGGCTTGCAGGATCTTCGTTCCCCAACCAGGGACTGAACCCCTGCCCTTGGCAGTGAAAGCGCCGAGTCCTAACTACTGGACCGCCAGGGAATTCCCTTATTTGGGAAAAAGTTAAAACCGATAGAAAAGCTCCAAGAATATTACAATGAACTCCCATATACCTTTTATCTAGATTCACCCACTGATAACGTTTTTTGTATTTGCTTTCTCTCTCCATATATACATATGTACATATATATCACGTAAAATATGTAAGAATATATACATAATTATTCTTACTCTTATTTTTTTCTGAACCATTTGAGAATAAGTTGCAGGGGTTATGACTCTACCCCTAAATACTGCAAAGCGTATCTCCTAAAAATAAGAAGCTCTTTTATAACCACAGTGCAATGTTTAAGTTTAGAAAATTAACATCGGATACAATACTGTTATGTAATATTGAGTCGATGTTCAAATTTGGCCAATGATCCCGATATTGTCTTTTATAGTAATTTCTTCCCCCAAAGATGTCATGTCTCTTTCATATCCTTTAATCTGGAACAGTTTCTCGACATTTTATTGCCTTTCATTGGCTTCATAGTTTGAATAGTGTAAGCCCATTGTTTTGTGGACTATCCCTGAATTTGGGTTTGTCTCAGTGTTTCCTTGTGATTCAGTCCAGGTTATGCATATTTGGCAGGAATACCACATGAGTGACGTTGTGCCCTTCTCAGTACATCGTATCAGGAGGCACATGGTGTAGCTCTGTCCCACTATTGGAGATGTTAAGTTTGATCATTTGGGTAAGGCGATAAGTTTGTAATGTGCTTTCCGTGGTGTTTTCTTATTGGTAAGCGGAATAACTGTAGGCTGCTTGCCCAGTTTTCCACTAGTGTATTTTTGGGGATCGGTAGTTTAAAGAAGCCTCCTTTTATACATACTGTTTTTCTCAAGTGAGCCAGCTGTGGTTTTGCACATGTCCTGCAAATGCCTGTCTCTGGGAAGATGGCTAGCCGAGCCCCAGAGAAGAAACTGGTGTCAGCAAAGCACGCAGTTGAAAACTACATGGGTAGTGAGGTTCTCAGAGGATGAACGGGGGAATTGGGTGTGGTCTCACGAGATCTTTGCCTCATCCGAGCTCCAGTCCGTGTATTTCAACCTCCACACTCTCCGGGACTCACCCTTGATGTTGACAAGTGAAGCTGCGTGTTTACCCCCTCTCCACAGTGCCCTCTTCCTCCTGGCTGCCGCAGGGTGCCTGCCCTTCAACGACTCCCAGGTGAGTTCAGGCAGACTCACTTTGCCTTCCAGGTATCTCTGAAGCCTGCGTGGATGAGCAGAATTTCCGAATCCTTCCTTTGAGAAGCAGGATAACCTTGGCCTATATACAAAGGCATGTAAAAGCAAACTTTCGGGGCCCTAGGGCACTTTTTGGCCAGGCCAACACCTCTCCTCAGGTCTCTGCCTTCTCCCAGGCTGCAGCAGGGGAGCCCGCAGACCTCGGGCCTCTGGGTGCCGCGACGGGGGCGGTCCACCCTCTGTACGTGCTGGGAGGACCTGCACATCCAAATGACTCCAGCCCCACACACTGAGGTGGAGTTGATTTCCTTTTCCTCTCATCCCAAGGGCCTCATCTGCACAGTGACTTTCACTTTGTCAGACTGAGTTTTTCTTTCTTAGGCACTGAGAACCCACCCCCACCTCCAGGAGTCATCTCATTTCGGGCTCTTTTTTTTCTTTCTTTTCTTCCCCAGCATTTATTCAGTTCCCATCAAGTGTTAGGCACTGAGCCAGGCTCTGGGGGCACAAGCAGGAATTGCCATCCTCCAGGCAGAAGTCGGAGTCTAGTCAGAGCAAAGGGGAAGGGGCAGACGATGAACCGATAATTATAACACAGGGAGGCCAGGGCTCTGTCCGGGGAGGTGTGGGATCCTTCGAGGCTCAGAGCAGGAATAGGGAGCAATTATAGGGAGCTTACTGTGTGCCAGGCTCTGTGCCAGTGCTTTAGTGCCTCACTCTATTTAATCTCACAGCAATTCCACAAGGGTAGCAGCTATTATTATCTCCATTTCATAGCTGAAGAATAGCGAGGCCCAAAAGGTCACCAGCTAACACATAAGTGGGAATTTTAGAATTTAACCCAGATCTTTCTATTTTCTTTCTTTCTTTCTTTTTAAGTCACTGATCCTTTATTTTGTTCCAGTTAATATATCAAGTTTTAGTAACATGAAAGCCATCATACATTGGACACTTGTGTGCCAGGCACTGTGCTGAGATCTCTGTATACTCGGTTTCATTTAATTCTCACAACAAACCTTGAATGGTTAGGATTACTGTTTTACAGAAGAAGAAACAGACTTAGATTAAAATAATTTTTTTTTCAGCTGCTTGGTATAGTGAGTGTATAGATGGTGGCACAACCAGTCTTCAAACCTAGACTTGTCTGCCTCCAAAAGACATGGTTTTTTTTTGCGGTACGTGGTCCTCTCACCGCTGTGGCCTCTCCCGTTGCGGAGCACAGGCTCCGGACGCGCAGGCTCAGCGGCCATGGCTCACGGGCCCAGCCGCTCCGCGGCATGTGGGATCCTCCCGGACCGGGGCACAAACCCACGTCCCCTGCATCGGCAGGCGGACTCTCAACCACTGCGCCACCAGGGAAGCCCCAAAAGACATGTTTTTAATTACCGTGCTAGTTTATAGCAGATGGGCAATAGTCTTTTGGATGTGGGGAAGGGAAGGGGGCAAGAGAATTAACCCGGATCTTTCTGATGCTGGAGCCAGGCTCTGCTTACTGTACCTAAATCTTGAAGGGGGAGGAGGAGCAACCCAGGAGAAGAAGGCAGGTACGGACAGAGCCTTAGAGGCGTCCTGGGTGGCCTGTGATTCAACTTTATTGAGCACCTACTATGTGTGTGTCCCTGGGCAAATTCCTGCCCTCTTGGAGTTAATCATCTAGTGCGGGGTGGAGACAGAGACAGGTCACAAGTAAAACAGAGTGTGTCAGGTGAGATAAATGGAAAACGGAAGGGAAGAAGAGGCGGGAGTGCCCCTCAGCTGAGTTGGCCAGGGACGTGCAAGTTCTCTTTCTCTGGAGGGGGATGGGCAGTGGATGGGACTGGTTGGGTTGATAGGAGCTTGTCATAGGGATTCTTGGGTGTCCTGAGTTTGCATTTCATCCTGAAGTCACTGGGGGATGGCTGGGTGATTTTAAGCAATAGGCGGCACCATCAGGTCTACTTTTTAGAGATGCAGTGCTGGGGAGTTGGGGGGATGGGGAAAGAGATGCTGGAGGCAGGGAGCCCTGTTAGGAAATGTTGTAGGCAACTGGATGAGAAATAAGGAGGGACTGGCCCAAGGCCCCAGAGTCCTGTCTGGCACCATGCCTGGCACTGTGCATTGACATTTAGTGTTTCTGATCATCATGCTGGATCCCGTTTGTCTGTACTTACAGCCAATTTTTTTTTTTTTAATCTTGTGTTACAGTTTGATCCAGATGGTTATTTCTGGGCTATAATTCACTTATTCTGCATAGGTAAGGGTTTTTAAATAAATGTATTTATTTATTTATTCATTTTTGGCTGTGTTGGGTCTTTGTTGCTGTGTGGGTTTTCCTCTAGTTCCGGCGAGTGGGGGCTACTCTTCGTGCGGTGCATGGGCTTCTCACTGCGGTGGCTTCTCTTATTGCGGAGCATGGGCTCTAGGTGTGTGGGCTTCAGTAGCTGTGGCTCGTGGGCTCTAGAGCGCAGGCTCAGTAGTTGTGGCGCACGGGCTTAGTTGCTCCGCGACATGTGGGATTGTCCCGGACCAGGGCTTGAACCCGTGTCCCCTGCATCGACAGGTGGATTCTCAACCACTGTGCCACCAGGGAAGCCCCGTCGGTAAGTTTTTAAAGAAGTCTTACTGAAACAATTGAAACTTATTATTCCTTATCATGTATCCACTTTTTAGTGATCCTGGACAATAGGAAGATGAAATCCAAGGTGTCAAGGTTAAAATTAAATGGGCATTTTTCTGGTTTGAATTTTCTGTTTTGGAGTTTTCCTGAAATGTTTGCAGTTTCCATAGAGTCTCGCCTTTCTCATGACAAACATTAATTAACTCGCCAGGGCCCAGGCTTTGCTTGCTCAAATCCACTTGTGCGGTGCTGGTTGGTCTTCTCTAAAAATGGTGAGAAGAGATCCAGATCCAGAGGTTTGTGTCAAAAACACTCTCTTTCAGCAGTATACAAAAAAAAAAAAAAAAATTAAGTGGGTGAAATAAAAGGACCATCTACTTTATTTCAAACCAGTGTTTCCTATCTGTAGTCTTAGAGGGAAAAACAGTGCCCTGACTTTGTGACACATGGGTCAGAAGTCCTGCGGTGTTTCTCATGTGCACCATCAAAGGAAATCCAGGCTTAACAATCCTGTTAATTGCGTCCTTCTGGGGACCACGAGCCTTTCCAGCCCAGCACTCTCTCTATGAACTGCATCATCTGGGGGATTATCGAATGTGCATCCTTGAAATTCTCCAAAGTGCTCTTGGTCGCCCCCTATTGGCTGCGGGTGACCCTTGCAGGGAAGAGGGGCCCTTCTCCCTGCGGGTTTCATGCTTCCCAGGAAGCACCAGCCGGCCCCCTCCACAGAATGCTGCGTGCCAGTGACTTGTGTTGCTTCCTTTCCAGGGGCTTATAAGATACTACAGAAATCCCAGAAATCCAACGCGTTAAGGTAAACTTTTAAAGTTTGGTGAGTCATCCTTTGGTTAAAGGAAAGGGGTGAGACCCATGGGGTCGTGAGCTTCCTCCATCAGCCAGAGACTCCATGAGTCCAGGATGGGGGGAGAGCAGCAGGCCGGGTCCATCAGTACCTGAACCATTGCCAGCAATGTGCAAAGAGCCTGGAAGTCTCTCTCCTCTTCCTTCAGGGTGGCCCTTTAGATGACATTTTGACAAAAATTGCGTGACCGGCTGCCTTGGGCCCCAGTTCACTTCCTCCAGCTCAGAGGCACAAGTCTTTTTTCTTGTTTCTCCAACCCCTTCCTAACTTTAGACCCAGAAGCCTCCCCCATCACCAGCTCTGTTCTGGGGTAAAATGAGGCCTTTGTTGAGGGCAGTCAGTGGAACAGAGTTGCTGAATGTAAGTGAAAAAGATGAGAATTCAGGCCTTGGTTGGACTGGAGCCGCCGGGTCAGAGCCCTCCACTGGCCAGCTGGCCACTGGGTTTCGGGGCCGTCTGAGGCCCACAAAGAAAGGTCTGAAGGGACTGACTCCTGGGAGAAGGTTATACATGCTGAGGGTATGTGATGGGTCCTTAGAGCACCATTTTTTCTTTGAATAAAGTGTTTTTTCAGCAAGAAGCCAGTAGAGTTGTTAGATAAAATACAGGATACCCAGGTAAATTTGAATTTCAGAGAAGCAAAGAATAATTTTTTTAGTTTAAGTATGTTTCATGCAATATTTGGATCATACTTATACTGAAACATTATTCTTTATGGGAATTTCAGATTTATTTGGGTGTCCTGTATTTTTATTTGTCAAGTATGGTAGCCCTAGAAGCCAGTCCAGTGACCTGAGAGAGCTGACACTCCTTTTAAAATGGCAAATGTACACATAATCGGCCACAAGTGAAAGTGCATGTGATAGTACTAAATTGAAAACGTTTTTAAAAAATGAGCCAGGAAATGGTTTTGAATATAAAGTACTTTTCTTAGTGTTTATTAATGATTTATAAATCTAGGAGCTTATACATAGATCTAATTTATTAATGGAAGAAAATGACTATTTTGTGTATGTTAAACACATATTATTTTACCTTTTATGTTTTTTTTTTTTTTCTCATTTCTTAGTGACATTGACCAGCAGTACTTAAACTATCTATTCAGGTAAAATATAATTTAAATTTTCAAAGAATAACTCATATTCTTCTAGAGCTAATGGATTTTTATTTTCCAATAATGTATATATTTTCTATTAATTTTTTTATTGGAGTATAGTTTATTTATGACGTTGTGTTAGTTTCTGCTGTACAGCAAAGTGAGTCAGTTATATCCAGTAATATTTTGATAAGGGAGATCTGAGCCAGTGTGCCTGCCTACCAGGAAGGCAAGCTAAATAATTGGTGAGATGATCAGAACTGCAGAAACTAAATAGTGGTCCTGCCGTTAGGCCAGGCAAGAAGGGCTTCCATCCAGCCCCACACTTCAGAGAGCCATGCCTCTCCCCAAGGCATGTGGAGTCTGTAAGGCTAAGAGCCCACACCCTTCCTTCTAGACTGGGCCTTGGAATTTCCGACCCAAGTGGATTCCAAGGCCTCCCTGGGTCTGTCTTCTTAACTCATTCCGAGACCCAATGGATGTCCAAAGAGAGGCTGTTAGTATGAGGGACGTGCATGGAGGGTGGGCTTGCAGACTGAGGTGTCCACACACACATGTTTGAGGTCCTTGGGTGCAGGACGGAGTCTGGTGTCGGGAGAGAAGAGGGTGCACTGGGAGCTGGGAGCCAGAGGCAGGATGTCCCCACACTAACACCTTCTGACAAGAAGCTCCATGGACTCCAAGAATTCTCAATTTTAATCTGGACTTTCAGGTTGCTTTGAAGGTGTATTTGTTAAGGTAGGATGAAGTTTGAGGCTTGATTTATAATATGTAAGTGTAGTATATGGATTTCCATTTGTACCGTTGCCCCAAGCCAAGTAAAGAATAGGGGTTGGCTGCTGAGTAGAATAGCTGGGGAGTATTCTTGCATTCTGAGAGTCCCACACGGTGCACTGAGGGACCTAATTGAGAAAGTGAGGTTTTGCTGTCTAGAACTCAAGTTTGCCTAATGCAACAACATTCAGTCCAGAGGACCAAGGTCGGAGAGGTGCCTCTCAGCCTTTGGCCACATGGATTTCTGCAGGAAGTTGGCTTAAAACGTTCAAGATCTGTGTTCTCTACCTACAGGTAAAGTTCCTAAATATCTTAGTGTTTATGAAAATGCCTTTTTGAAGACAGGATTCAACCCAAACGTAGCTGGGGCCTCTTTTGTACTCAGTGGAACAGTCATTAGTTCCACTCTGCCCAGACCCACCAGCTGCCTTTTCAAGAGATGTTTCTGAAAATGCAGAAGTCTCTTGGTGTTTGAAATGTTTCCATGACATCGGACTACTTTGGACAGTTCTTTTTCCCCACAGAGCTTATAGCCAAGGCGAGCAGCAGAGGGTTTTGGGGGTGGAAAAAAACAGCCGCTGTGACCCCCAGCTAGTTCTCCTGCCCTCCCCCCTCTCCGCCCTCCCCCGTGTGAGGGTTTCACTACCTGGGAACCAGGTGCTCAAGGCTTCCTGCCTCAGCCCGCTGCACACCCCGCCAAAGCCACACTGCTGTTTCCACGTCTTCTTTCAGTACAAGTGATGAAGATGAGCCAGGACTGAGATTCGATTTCCCACAGGCCCTGGGTATCAGCCTCCAGAGATCTGCATTCACTCAGCTCTGTAGAGTAGCTGCGCCTGTAGGTGCCGGCCCGGAGCTCTGCCTGCTGGTTTCATCTCTCTCTCTGCTGGTTTGAAAACATAGGGAGAACCTGCTATGTATCTGGCCCTGCTAAATACTTGAGCTCCAAAGATAAATAAAATATGGTTCTTGCTCCCCAGGTCATCACAGTGTAGGAATTAGAAGGGCGTAACTCTATATTTACAAAATTCAGACATGGACTAGAGAGCCAACTCTTTTATTTAATTATCTCTTATTTTTAACTCCCTAGTGTCTTCTTTTAGAGTCACCCTTTGGGGTGATTCCGATGATGGCATTTGGGATACCGTGTCAGGCCCTGGGACATGTTTTGGGATGGAAAGGGGCCCCTCACATCCAGCCATAGGAGCAATAACTTCTGCTGCTGAAGTTGAAGCCGAGAGGGGATCCAGCGAGATAGAATAATGGAGAATGTACAGGGTATGTGTTTTCTGGAGAAAGAAGAGACAGCAAGCAGACGCCCATGAGAAGGACAGGGAATCTCCAGTCTTGTCTGTAGTGTGTGTATTTTTTTACAGCTAGCTACCTGTAAACCCTTGTCTCACAAACCTACAACTTCCGAATGACCAGAATGTGACTATTCTTATGGCCGTTGTCACAACCCTCCTCTCCTCCTGCCTCTTTCTGTGATGCTGCTCCTCTGAAAACCATCAGAAAAACAGAAATGATGCTGGGAGATAACCCAAGAGCAGGGCTGAGGAGCTAACATTGGTTTCCCTGACTGTCATGTCACCAACTGGAGATTCGTGGCAGTGGTTCCTGATCCTGGTACTTTGTAGCTTCCGGGAGCCATAACAAATAAAAACAATGGATGCCCGGACCGTACCTTAGAGATTCTAGCCAGGATGCTACACTATTTGGATGTATATCCAGGGTTGAGAACCAGAGCAGGCCATCCAGTGCTTTAAGAAAACTTTCCTTCTTATATTTGAATTAAAAGTTTCATTCCTAACCTCCAACTAAATCAGCTGCCTGCGTGGCATGAGTTTTGATGGAAGAGGGTACGGAAGGTGGGCTTAGGACCGCACAAAGGCACTTGTAGACAGGCGCCGGGAGGTGGGACAGGCTTCCAGAGATAAAGATGGGAGACAGCCAAGCACAGGTATGGCCTGCATCATCCCATACAGCATCAACTGCAAATTGGTCCGGGTAGTTTTCAGACACAGGGTGGATGGCATGGGTCATTTTGTGGGCTGGCTTCCTGGAAATTTACCTATTCTTCTGTGTAGTTAATTTTGTGATTAGCTCACATTCAACAGCTAACTTTTAGGCTGCGGCCTGTTTGTAATTTAGACTGTTTAGCTGACAAATACTCTCTGTGGATTAGGTGAATATGATAATCATTAGTGGCAGGGCTGACCCTCCAAGAGGGGCACGGACCCTCAGAGTCCATCCCAGGGGAGATCCAGCCCTCTTGCCCAAACCTGAGGCATTTCAGGAGATTCTCACTCTCTCCCTGACAAGCTGGATTTAGGCAGAACGAGACCATTCAGTGCAGATAGTTTGCTTTTAGGCAAATCTCACTATTTCCGAGTAGAATGGGTGAAAATGGATGTTGTTTTCTCAGTGCTGGGGAAGCTAGCTTCACGAGTCTGCTGTTTCTTTTTCAGCGTGGTGCTCCTGACGTTTGCATCTCACCCCACAGGTAAACGTGATTTTGTTTGTTTGTTTGTGTATCTTACACTGCCCATTCAACCCAGTGCTCCGGTTATATCTCTGAGGGAAATTTTGTAAGAGAATGTAGCTGCCTTCCAGGGTGTCAAACTTAAGGGTTAGGAATGGCCCACATACTTGAAACTGTTCTTAGTATCCCGTTGTGGATTTATGGCCCATGAATTGAACCTTTTTCCATGTTTTATTGTTGCTGTTTTCATCTGGTGCAATCTCAGATGTACAGACGGGTTTATAATCTGCCAGATAAACTAGTGCTTGCTTTGTCCTTTTCTAAAATTCTCCCTTCAAGGACCCAGAATTGCTCTTCAATCCTAGGGCTAAAGATTTGCTGGAGAAGTTCAAATTGCACCTATTTCTCAGTGACATCCTTTTATACATTTTTATCATATATTGTCATCCAGTTTTCATAATTCCAGATTAAAGAAGTCATTTTAAAACTTACCTTCACCCATATATATACACTGATATGTATAAAATAGATAACTAATAAGAACCTGCTGTATAAAAAATAAATAAATAGAATTAAATTAAAAAAAAAGAAAACTTACCTTTACCCTGTTGCTGCCTCAGTTACCCTAGAGTTGTTTTCCAAATTCAGGAATTTTCCGTAGTACTCTACTTCATTGTGTTTTTTTACTTTGAAAGGTTTTGAAGTTGATGCAAAGATAAAGCAAAAATATCTGTGTGCATCATGGCTGGAAATACACATTTTTTTGGTCACACTCCTTAAACTAATGTTTATTGACCTCTGCTATGCATGAGGCATTACCCAAGCCCTCAGGGTCTCGGTCTTTTATCTGGAAATTAAGAAAGGTGGACTGGATTATTTCTGAAGCCCCTTCTAGCTCCCTGCTGTGCCCCAAACAGCAACCCCTTTCTGTTTGTGTTTTTAGCTGCTTCAGACTGTTTGAACTAATATCCTCAGGGAACTGCTGATGGTGACTCGGATCATGTTTCTAGATTGGACATGACCTATCCGAACTGCTGTCTCATTAGCATAATTTGAATTATTTTTTCTCCATGAGTGCTTCTACGCTTGCCCATACTGAAGCACATCCACTGTTTTCTGCCCACTCCCACAGCCTGAAAACCTATCCTTGGTAAAATTGCAAGTCATATGAAACCCTGGTGTTGACCCTAAACACCTACCTGTACCGCTGAGTGTCCGCCTTCCAAATCCTGCCTCTCAGCATTCCTTCGTGCAGCCAGAGGGTTGCCACCCAACAGAATTCAGAGCCCACTAAGTGTCTTCTGCCTTTCAAATAGGTTTTTAATCAAAGACCTTTGGAGAGTTATGCTTGCTGGTTCTTCTTGATTTACATGTTCATTTTCCCCCGAGTGATTTCTAGTGGATTTGGGTGAATGATATTCACTTCAAGAAGCCACTCTGCCTTTCACTAAGAGGTTATGCTAGTTCATTTGTTACACTCACGCTTATCAGAACTGGAAGGAACCTTAGTGATTATCCAAGGTGCCACCACATTTTACAAATGAGGAAATTGAAACCCAGAGGAGTTAAGTGATGTGACCAAGAGGAGGAAGTGAGTAGCAGAGGGAGACTGGGGTTTAGCTAAAGCTTCCCTGCGAGGGGATGCCCCACAGCCGTAGGGGTCAGGAGTCCTGTGGGCCTCAGTAGCCATCGTAGCAGGGCTCAGGCAAAGGCCCCAGGGAAGGTAGGTGTGCGGCTACCTACGAACTGGCGGCAGCCTTCCAGAAGAAGCCGGAGATGTTCATCTATACCAATACCAAGTTGGGTATCTAATCCGTGAACATCGCAGGGAAACACTGTGGAACCACACCTACTTTTACGTGAATGAAGTAACAAATACAGTTGTGGTCTTTATAAACAGTGCAGTTTGTTTATACTGAAGTTGTGTAATGCACAACCATGTGCAGCTCTAAGCAGTGGCCCATTGTTTCAAAAAGCACACAGGTTTGCTCAAGTAGGTAATTAAGGCAGATGGATACGAAGGTAGGGATTTGGTGTGTGAGATTATGGAAGCTGAGAATCTAGAAGACCCCTTGGGGATCCGTTTTTCCCAGCTTTATAAAGCCAGGTCAGTTGCCCTAAACCCTTTGATGGGTCCTGGTGATGTCTTCTCATAGGAGCATAAGGTTGATTACAAAACTTAAGCAAATAAAACCGCTGAGGAGAATCTCTTTCCTCCGGAAGTATTCGAGGACTGCTCTGATTGGGCAGCTGCAATTCCTGCCAATTCGTTAGCTTCCTCATTGGACCCGTGGGTGGTCCAGCCCATTTTTAAGGTGGAACAGCACTTTGTTCTTTCCCACTTGCGTATTATACTTTCCATCTGGAGTGTCCACTTCAAGGCCTGGGTGTGGGTCAGGGAGTGCAGCTTCCTGATTCTCCCACATCTGCACCAATTAAGACACAGTAAGAGCCAGGACCCGCGGGTGCAGCCTTTTTTTTTTTTTTTTAAGGCTCTGTTAATTTCTGATGTTTTAAAAACAGGCCTTTATTCTTTTTGGTTTCTTCTTACCTCTTCTTTCTTGACTTGTATCTTCATTATTTAGTAGTACTCTCAAAACATTTTAAAATTGAGATATGATTTACACATAGGAAATGCACCTATCTTAAATGGGCAGCTTGATCCATTGTGACAAATGTATATGCCCATGTAAGTCACACCTCTGTCAAGATATAGAAAACTTCTGTCCCTCCAGAAAGTTTCCTCACGTCCCTTCTCAGTCGCTCCCTCTCGCCGACCACCAGAAGCCCCTGTTGATCTGACTTCTGTTACCATACATAAGTTCTGTCTATTCTAGAGCCTCATGTAAATGGAAACACACAGGAAGTACTCTTTTGTGTCTAGCTCTTTCATTCAGCATAGCATTGAGAGATTCATCCAGGTTTTGGGTGTCTCACTAGTCTATTCTCTTTTATTGCTGACTAGTGTGCCAGTGTGCGAACCCTTTGTTTATCCATTCACCTGTTGATGCTCACCTGGGATGTTTCCAGTTTGGGGCTGCTATGAATAAAGCTGCTATCAAGATTCTCATACAGTGCTTTTGGTGGACTTATGTTTTAATGTCTCTTGGATAGATATCTAGGAGTAGAATTTCTGGGTCTTACAGTAGATATATGTTTAACTTTTAAAGAAAGTGCCAGTTTTCTAAAGCATTTGTACCATTTTACCCTCCCACCCAACAATGCGTTAGAGTTCCGGTTTCTCTATGTCTTCACCAACATTTGGTGTTGTCTGTCTTACGTTAGCTATACGACTAGGTGGGTGATGGTCTCTCAGTAGTGCTTTTGACTGAGCCGCCCTTCTCACTCACTCCCGAGTGACTAGAAAGATAAGTTTTCTTGCAATGCAGATGATGTGGCTTTGGGTCACCGCCTTTGGGGTGCATTGGGATGTAGTGGTAGGTAGGGACCAGGTAGATAGTTCTCCATGTCCTAGGTGCAGACCCGGACACTTTTCCTATCTCAGGCACTGGGTTTGCTTCTTGATGGGTGGGATCTAGTTCTCCTAATCTTTCAAAGTCACAGTTCATGCAGAAGCTCCAAGAATCTTAGAAACTTGCACCCCCAGGACTGCTTTAAGTAATAGTAGAGAAAAGAAATTCTTCCTCTGTTTGAAAGTTTGCGTTTCATCTTTGTATGGGGTCCCTCTGCTGTGGCATTTTCAAGAGAGAAAATTTCAAGGAACCGGAAGGGCAGGAAGACTTTCGGGAATCTGACCAGAAATGACCTTGTTATGTGGTGTGTCTACTGCTCGTATTGAGATAAAGCAATCAGTACGAACTACATCCTGGAACTGACCTTCCACTTTTCCACTCATTCTGAGGACTAAAATGTGGTGAGAGGAAACTTTCTTGATGTCCAAGTCTCCATTATTCTTGGTGTGGTAAAATTGTGCCACACTTTTCACCGTGGCGATTTCATGCTCCATTATCTTCGGAGAGATGGGACTCACTCAGAGAGTCAGCAGAATTTTAACTGTGGAGCACAGGCATGAGGGCTTAACTCCGACTTCTGTGCATAAGCTCCATGTTGATGCCACAAAGCATGTGTACAGAGCTTGAACCACTTTGTGCTTAAAGTGTGCGTTCTGCACTAGGTGGTGCAGAAGTGTTGTCTTTTGAGCACCTTTACACAGTTTTTAGTTCCTGGGTCTAGTTCTCATGTGGTTGGGGCCAGCTAGCCACATACTGCAGCATGTTCGGGGCTATTTTTGTAGCACAGTCATTAACCTTTGCTGTTTAGAGGTTAGCGTGCACCCTCTCTGTTGAAGGAAAAGATGAGGCCGGCTGAAGGCATCAAGGGGGACGTACTGGGGGCCAGTTTGAGATTGAGGACCAGCAGAGCCAAGTGGAAAGTGTTCGGAACAGTCTCTCCAGGGAAAGCAAGAGGGGTTGAAGTCTTCCAGATACTCTTGGCGCAGGGGTGCTTGTTATTTGTCAGAGATGGTCCTCACACAGTGGATACAAGTGTTGAGTATAATAGAATCCTTGCTCACAAGGACTCGATGGCTCTAGAAGGAGAGACAGTCATGGAGGCAACTACGTGGGAAATGTGTGGAGGTTTTAGACATGGCTCAAAGAGAAGAGCGAGCTCTTCTCTCTCTTGCTCTCAATAATCGACAGGATCAATTTTTAGGATTTGAGGGAGGATTATTATGCAGCTGGTCAGTTCCCTAGGATGGTGATTTTTTTTCTTTATCTTCCTTCCTCCCAGTCTACCTCTGCCCACTCCACTGCCCTTCAGACCCCTCCGTAGCCTGGGCCGCACCGGGAGTCCAGGTCACCTTCCCTGAATCCTGAGGTCCTGCGTTTAATTTATTCTCCTCTCCTCAGTCCTCCTGATCACACTGTGCTGCAGTTTCTCTCACGCTGAGAGGGCGGTTGGGAAACAGCCAAGAACCAGGAGCTGCCAGAGAGACAGAGCAAATCCTCCACGAACCTGCCTTCGCCCACCTTACAGGGGGCTGGGGCCGCCTGCCAGCGTCGGGGTGCTCAGGGTTTCCTCGGCTGTCACTTCTGTGCAAAAAGGGGCTACAGAAGCAGTGGAGCTCCTCATGCACTGGATGTCTGGGCCTGATGTCAGTTACAGAGTCCCTCCACCAGTATAGGTCCCTGGTAAATGACAGGGGTGTCCAGTGGAGCCGTAGCAGAAAGAGAACAAAAGCTCTTAGCCTTTGGTTGGGCTGCACGAAAACCAGATCCTAGGGGACCTCTCCTTTTAGTTCAACACACATACATATGTACAAACCAAATCAAACAAAATAACAATAGTTATGGTAGAAAAAAGCAACCGTCCAGAGAAGTGGAATTCAGACCTTTCCTTCCCAGTCGATGGTTGAATCATTTGAGATCATTTAGGTACAAGGAAGTGTAGCGATGCGTTGTGTCTTTTGTTCTGAAACTCTTGATTAGTAAGTGTAGTGATGAAGGATGTTCCACCGCCCCTAACGGGCTCCAGTCCATCCAGAACTGAGAGACAGACCGAGGCCCAGGGGTCTGGAAGGTCTGGCGCCTCCAGAATCTCAGAAATTCCAGATTTGGAAGGATTAGGCTATCTGCTGTGGAAACGCTTAATTCCTTTTCTCTGGACATTTTTGGAAGGCTTTCTGCTTTTTTAATCTCCTGACTTCTTGTTTGTGACCAAGTTCAAATTCCAGAGAGGGAAGCGGCCAATATGTGTGATTATTTCCTCTTGCACCAAGTGGAACTAAAAGAATGAACTTACTTCACTAGAAATAAATGTACCCTTTGGACCTTGAACTAAAATGAGTATGCACGGGCGCTTGGCCCCTTCTCTGTTTGTGCGGTAATTAAACACAAAGATGAGAGGAGATGTCAGAGGCATGCGTTCACGATCCTTTTTTAGATATAAGGCAGGAAAGAATAGAAGAATCTTAAAAAAAGATTCTTTTTGTCCTACGCTCTGGGCCAGGGATGGCTGCCTGGCGAAGAGGAAAGATCTTAGGACTTGAAGTCACCGGGGTCCACATTCTGGCTCAACAGTTAGAGAGCTGTGCAAACGTAAACAGATCACTTCTCTGAGCTGCAGTTAAAATGGGGATGACAAAGCTTCACAGAGTTGTTACAAGGATTGAAAGAGACGATGTTCGGGAAGCTTTTCACACAGGGCCCCGCACAGGGCAGGCTTTCACTAAATGGGTGTCATTATCATCACACTATTATTATAATAAGACAATGCCAATGACACAGAAACCCTCGAATGCCGGAGTGAACTCACTGCTGGGCAGCTCAACGCTCAGAGGGCTGATGTAATTAAGATCCTTGCCTTGTGTTTCTGGGCAGCCGGGGGCAGGGGGCTTTCGGGCTGTGTGTCTCACCCTTGCTGTTTCCCTCAGGTGATCTCCTCAGCGTCCTGGACTTTCCGTTCCTGTATTTCTACAGATTCCATGGCAGCTGCTGTGCCAGGTAATCTTAACTCGGAAAACCCCTCGCGCTGTGGATTTGTATGTTTCTGTACTACCAGCCATGTCTTCGTGAAGCCCCGGGTCACTGTCTATTATCTGAATGAGCGTCAGAAGAAAGTGGTGTCTGGTGCAGGTGAGGAAGTTGCCCGTCGGCCATCAGAGGGTTGTTATGAACGTTCTCAGGTGCTCAGGGCTGGCCTGGGACCTGCGAGGACCCCTGTCCTGAAGAATTTTCTCGGCCAGGGCAGTGGTTTTCGGACTTGCAGAAGAGAGAGAATTCTCCCCCTTTTTTATTTTTTTCCCCCACAAGCAATTCTTAAACAGAACTTCAGCATATAAAAATGATGACACTGACTCAGTTCAAGGGAAGATTTGGGTACAGAATCACACCCTGTCAGCATCTACCTTGATTTCTCTCTTGTTCCTAAAGGGCAGCCTCCAAAAAATTTTGACTGAACCCTAAGACTCTGAGAGACAGATTTTGAAACCAATGACTAGGAATTGTCTAGACCACAAGGTGATCGTTAATATTTGGCCTTGGGAAGTATCAGAGATGTGGACCAATTAGATGGATACATTTAGATACAAAGAGGTTCATCCCCATCCTACCCCCACTCCTCTCCTGCCATGACCCCCACTTCACTTGACTGTATTGTGCTGAGGAATGGAAAGGCTTCTGTGGACAGTCTCAAAGCATGGATTCTGATGTGGTCGAAAGACCACACTTGGGTTGAATTTCAGCCTTGCTGTTTGCTAATTTGTGTTTTTGGGCAAGTTATCCTACTTCTCCCAAACCTTAGTTTAGTTTTCTCATTCTGTAAAATGGAAAGATAATACTAATACAGGGTGATCGTGTGTATTAAATAAGGTCCACGAAGCTCAAAGCATCTTGCCCGGCTCAGCAAATGATGGGCATTATTATTATCTGTAGATAAAATGTCAACAGACCAGAAGCAATTGCTACATGAAAGCCAGACCACCTATTTCCACCCAAAGGAGAGTGTATCTTGTGAAGCAGTGGTTCTTCACAGAGAATTAAAGAGCTGATATGCAGCTAGGTGCTGTTTCTGATGGGGACGTGTTAGGGCAGAAAAAATCAGTATCATGGAGTTTGCATCTGCATTGGAGCCTCAGAACGATTTTTTTTTTTTCTTATCATTCTCAGAAAAGTTTCAGGGAAACACTGACAGAATTTGTCTTCTCAGTTCCTATCCATTTGGTCAGGCCTTGTCACTTGCCCATTAGCTAGGATTGTGTGGCAGGAGTGTCAGTGCCACCCTGGTGCCTGCAGACTTGCTTCCCTTTGGGCCTGCTTCTTTGGCCGCATGGGTGGCCAGGGTGCCAAGGGGGCCGCCAGGTTTGGTTATTTGGAGCAGAGCATCACGGTTCATAGCCCGTTGGTGATGGCTTTGTGGGATGACCTTTTTTTTTTTTTCTTGGCCATGCCGTGCGGCTCGCAGGATCTTAGTTCCCCGACCAGGGATCGAACTTGTGCCTCCTGCAATGGAAGTGCAGAGTCTTAACCACTGGACCGGCAGGGAAGTCCCTGTAGGGTGACCTTCTGCCTCCATTTCTGCCCCTTTTAATCTGCAAGTTTTTCTAATCCAACATGAAAACTCAGGTTTTTTTTTTTTTTTAATTTGAAAGATTTGGAAATCTTTATCTGAATTGGTTTAACTCTCTATTACATTCTACCTCTGGCTTACCCTCTTTTAAGAACGTGGCGCTTTTCCCCACATCATCTCGTGACTCCCCCATAACTGTATCTCAGACTAAGAGCTGTCACCTTCAGAGGTCCTGGGGGAGCTCAGGAGGGGTCGTGGAGGCCTGAGGGGTCAGTGGTAGCTGTGGCCTGGAGACCCCTTGAATAGGGAGCCCCAGGCTCCTTCACTCCTGGGGTCTGCCCAGTGCTCTTAAGACCTGCCTCCACAGCAAGGGGTAGACAAGCTGGAAGTGGAAGACACAGATGAGGGAGTTGAGGGAGGGACCCATGAGTCATTTAGAAATGATTCACCGACATGCAAGTCAGGTGATGGGAAAGAGTCATGGACGCTTTCAGGAGCGTGTTGGTCACAAGCCAGGGTCGCTCAGTCCTAGCAGAGTCTGTGCTGAGGGCAAGGGTCAGCGTGGAACTGTGCCCTCCTCTGGCCAGGGATGGAGAGGACAAGAGAAGCCCAAAGGGGACCAAGGTATGGGGGATGGGACAGGCACCTGTTGGGGATGCAGGGGGTGGACACCACCAAGAGGAGCCCTGGAGGGCCGGCTACCTCACTGTCCTCTACCAGCCTCGCGACCTTGGGCACCCGGAGCATCTCACTCCATCTCTCTGGCCGAGAGCACATTTCCACGCTGAGGTCTGCAGGGCCGTGGAGAGCTTCGGAAGAGCCAGGAAACCTGGGCTCTAATTACGCCTGTGACCCAGTTTGCTTGTTAATAAAGTGAGACTTGGGGCTGGGGAACCTTTCTGTTCTGAAAATCTCTGATTTCCGTAAAATAGGATGAAGAGCGCTGTGCTTATTCCTGCTTTAAGGCCACAGAACCGAACCTGGGGCAAGAAAAAAAGGGAAAAAAATGGGGATTTGGTCAAGGTTACGAGGGTCGGTGAGCACAGCCAGGAATAGAATCCCGGGTCACTTGATTTCCAGCTTCCTGGTTCCCCACAGGGGCTCCTTGTGAGGGTGACTCAACGCCTTAATCAGCGGCCAAGGCTCCCATGACTGCAAGTGCAGACCTGTGCAAACTTTGTGGGTAGTTAGGCCAAGCAGGCTGAAATATAGAGAGAGGAAACCTAATCCCTGTCCCTGGTCCTGCCCCAAGAATGTGGCTGTGACCTAATCGAATCTAATGCAATGAAGGCGCACATTTCTGTGAAATTGGCCTTAGGTGCGTTTAAGTCAATTCAACCTGCTTCCAAGTACACCTGCCAAACATTTATGTAATACATGCTATGGTCAGGGCACCTTATTTGGCTCTGTTGGGGAATATGGAGAAGCCCAAGATTGGGCCCCTCCCTCTCAGGGCTCATGATCTGGGTGGGAGCCATACCCCAGCACCTATAATAGAGGTCAGATGGCAGTCTGGCATCCGACACCCTGGAGCTACAAAGGAGGAGGTATGTAGAGCTCCAAACCTCCGGATGGCCCCCCGACGTGCTGTCCAGCCTCAGGCTCCCTTGGGAGGTGAGGGCTCTTTCAGACATCATTCCCAAAGTATAGCGTCTGTGTAGGTCACCCTGCTTTGGGGGACTTCTGTTATGCAGCCCTCCCCTTTAGGTTCTTACCTTGAACCAAGGGGCCAGTCCAGACCCTCTGACTTCATACGGTGAGTGTTTCTTTGGAAGTCTTTTCCTAACAGTTTGTTCTGCTTGAAAAAAAAGATGAAGCTCTACCTTGGCAAGCACCCAGCTCCAGAAGTAATACAGGAGGAAGCAGGAGATACTGTCCTCCAGATTTTTTTTCTTTCTTTCATGATTTAGCCAGAGATCTCCCAAATTTCTATACCCACTCCCTGCCTCCAGGGCAATGATCTCTTCATAGCTCCTTAGCATAGTAGAGCTTTATGGGTTTTTAAATTTTGGGTATTTTTATCCAGAGATGACTAGAAAACAGAGATGAGATAGGGGTGGTGTAATAACTAAATATCGACTAATTTTTGTAACGGTAAATACAAAATGTAACAGGAAATAGTTAGCTACTGGCTATAGGAGGGCAAGTCTCACTAACAAAAGTATATTTTCTCCTTCCAGTGGATTTTTAGGATTCTTTCTCATGGTCAGCACAGTGAAGCTAAAAAGCCTTATGACCCCAGGGCAGTGTGCAGCCTGGATTTTCTTTGCTAAGGTAAGAGACAGGGGAGGGGTGGGAAGAATCCATCTCAGGAGCCCTTGTGTCCAGTGTTCTCAGAGTCAGGTTGGTCTTCACGGAGTCATCTCTAGTCCCTGGCCCTGAGCCTGATCCTTCGCTTGTTCAGGTAACAATTTCTGAGGGTTTCTGCGTATTTTATCAGCATGACATACTGATCTCTATCACATTCCTGGAAGGTGACCTGAGTATGCCCCTTAATTTCCCAGAGCCTTAATTTTCCCATCTGAAAAAGAGAGGTTTTGCCAAAACAAAACAAAACACCTCTAAGCCTTCTCTTGCTCGAAGAGACTGGACCCCCGGATGCATGGGGCAGTTCTTATCTTCCTTCCTGGGAGCTGTGAGGGTGTCCAGAGCTCCAGTGACTTGCCCAGAAGGTCTCAGCCAGTCAGAGGCAATTGAAAAAGGAAAACGGACAGATGGCCTGATAGGGGGACTCTGATGGACCATTCAAAAAAGGGACTAATAAAAATGCCCAGCGCGTATTGACCATGGTTGAAGCATAAGATAGAGAGGTGGGAAAATAAGAAGGAGCAGAAAAATCAGCTCTGGGATGCAGGATCTTAGTGCTTTGGGGCCAGCTCTTTCTAGTGGAGCATTTCATTTCCCTAAAGGCTGTGAAGGAGTCAAGTTACAGTGCCCTAGGTGCTGCTTCCACCGAGTGAGATTTCTTAATTAATTTAATCTAATACAGTAATCATTTAAACTTGTGCCTTTAGCCATCTTTATGTTTGTTGGCTGAATTTTTTCCACCAGAAAGCAAAAACAAACGTTTTTATTTGAAAGTAAGATTTCACAGCGATGTTTCCACCTGCATTGTCTACTTTCTAATAGCATTAATGATTCACATTCCAGAAAAATGTAAAGATTGGCTGTGATACTGACTTAGAGCATGACAGAATGACGAGGTTGATAAATCCTCTCCCCCAGAAGCAACTAGAAAGCTGGAAAAAGACTGTCAAAGATATCCATTTCAGCTCTCTAAAAATTGACCAAAAGCACACAACAAACTGAGAGGCATTTGTTCATGAAAACTCCCAAACGTCGGGTAGGAACAGCATGAGTTAGTGGTGCTCTTGCTTTACGATGCTCTCATTCCCTTCTCCCCATCTCTATAAGTATTCTCTTTCAACCAGAGCAGGGCAGGCTGTGTAAACCAACAGACTTGCTGCTGCTTCCAGAAGGGGCTCACTCTCTTTGGAGTATTGTCAGGTAAAGGGGCCGTCTAGGTGGTAAATGAACAGGAAGTTCCACTAGCTTGAGTTTACCTCTTTGGGGCAAGCAATGGACCAGTGGTCTAGCTGGGGACTTACCAGGTAGTTCTGGGAGGTGAGACAGCCATCAGGGGCTTGCTAGCTCTCCATAAATGCCAGATTTACCTTAGTCTATGTGCATGAGCAGCACAGAGATGGAGGATGCCCAAGACACGTACACGTCCCTGGTCAACAGAGCCTGTGTGCACACACAGAGGAGACGTGAGAGACCAGCAGTAAGAAAAGCCGGGGCAGACATGAAAACAGCCTAAAGTTTGAATGTGCTCCCCAGCCCACATACAGAATCAGAAGCAGAGAAAGCTTTCTGGCTTAAGGTGTTTGAGCAAAAGCTCTTGACTAGTCTTTGCCAGAACACTAAGCTACGCAGACTGGGGATGATCCCTAGGAAGACAGGCTTAAAAATAAAAGCAAGAAAAAAAATTGAGTGAAGACCGCAGCAATGATACCTTATACGGGAGACAGGTTTCACAGACTGAGTCCAGGCAAATTACTAAACAAGCAAAACAACAATGCCAATGAAAATGCTCTGGGAAAAAGTCAGAATCCAGAGTTGCTACGCTATCTAAAATGTCCAGTACTCAGTGAAAATTAGGGCATTCAGAGAAACAAGAAAGCGTAACCCATGCACAGGAAAAAGGCAGTCAATAGGAATTGTGTCTGAATGTCTATCCTCAGAGGTAGGACGTAGCAGAAAAAGACTGCAAAGCAGCTATTTAAATATGTTCAGACAGCTAAAAGGAAACCATGTTTAAAGAATTAAAGGAAAGACTCAATGAATACAGAGTCTCAAAGAGGTAGAAATGATTTTTAAAAAAAGAACCAAATGGAAATTCTGGAGTTGAAAAGTACAGTAACTGAGCCGAAATGAAAAATTCTCTAGAGGTACCCAGCAACATATTTGAGGGAGCAGAAGAAAGAATAAGTGAACTGGAAGGTGGAACAAAAGAAATTATTCAATCTAAAGAACAAAGACTTTTTAAAAATTGAAGAAATATGAACAGAGGCTCAGAGACCTGTGGGACGACATCAAGAATATCAACAAATGTATAATAAGAATTCCAGAAGAAGAAGAAAGAAGGTTAGAAGAAAAAAAGTGACAATCAGCAGATGACCTCTCATCAAATACAACAGAGGCCAGAAGGTGGTAGAAAAGAAAAAAGGTCTCAAATCAATAACCTAAGCTTGCACCTTAAGAAACAAGAAAAATAGGAACAAAATAAACCCAAAATGAGCAGCAGGAAGGATATGATAAAGTTCAAGGTGGAAAGTAATGAAATAGAAAACAGAAAAGCAATAGAGAAAATCAGTGTTTGTTCTTTGAAAAATCAACAAAATTGACAAACCTCTAGCTAGACTGATGAAGAAAATAAGAAGATACAAATAATCAAAATTAGAAATGAAAGAAGGGACATCACCACTTATCCTATAGAAACTAAAAGTATTGTATAGGTTTATGCCAGCAAATAGATGATTTAGATGAAATGGACAAATTCCCCAAAGGCACAAAATAGGAAAATTGACTCAAGAATAAATGGAAAATCTGAATATGCTCATAACAAGTAAATAAATGTAAGTAGTAATTTAAAAATCTTTCTACAAAGAAAAGCCCAGGCCCAGTTGGCATTACTGATGAGTTCTATCACATATTTAGAGAAGAAATATTGTTTCTTTACAAATTATTTTAGAAAATAGAGGAAGAGGGAATAACTCCCAATCTATTCTGTAAGGTGAATTACCCTGATACTAAAGGCAGACAAAAAATTGTAAGAAAACTACAGACCAGCATCCCTCATGAACATAGATCTTTAACAAAACATTAGCAAACCAAATTTGACAACCTACAGGAAGGACTGTACACAATGATCAAATGAGATTTATCACAGGAATGCAAAGTTGGTTTAACATGTGAAAACTGATATGTTATATTAATAAAATAAAGAACAGAAATACATGATCATGTCAATAGGTACAGAAAAATCATTTGACAAAATCCAGCATCCATCCATGATAAAAACTCTCAACAAACTAGTAACAGAAGAGAACCTCCTCAGTTTAATAAAAGGCATCTATGAAAAACCTATAGCTAGCATTATACTTAATGGTGAGAATACTTTCCCCCTAAGATTGGGAGCAACACAACAATTTCACTCTCACCGCTTCTATTCAACGTTATCCTGGAGGTTTCGGGCAGTGCAATAAAGAAAAAAAAATTGTTTGTACTCACAGATGACATTATCCTATACATAGAAAATCCTAAGGAATCTATAAAAACCCTAATTGAACTAATAAATGATTTCTCAAGGTCTCAGGGTGCAAGATCAATTGTAGTTTTATGTATTAATAATGAACAGTCATGTGCAAAAAAATGAAATTAAGGAAACAATTCCATTCACAATAGCATCAAAAAGAAAAAAATACTTAGGAACTTAACAAAGAGGTGTAAGATTTATACACTGAAAACTACGAAACCTTTCTGAGAGAAATTAAAGAAGATCTCAATAAATGGAGAGACTCAATATTGTTAAGATGGAAATTCTTCCTAAATTGTACAAATTCACAAACTGATCCTAAAATTTATTTGGAAGTGCAATAGCCAAAACAAAAGAAAAACAAAGTTGGAGGACTTGAGCTACATAATTTGGAACTCACTATAAAGCTAGAATAATCAAGACATCTTGGTATTGGCATAAGGGTAGACATTAAGGTCTATTGATTTTCTTTTTTTCTTTTTAAGGGTGTCAATGTATTTTTTTTTAGATTTTATTTTATTTTATTTATTTATTTGGTTGCACTGGGTCTTAGTTGTGGCTCACCGCCTCCTTAGTTGTGGCATGCAAACTCTTAGTTGCGGCATGCAAACTCTTAGTTGCGACATGCATGTGGGATCTAGTTCCCTGACCAGCGACCAAACCCGGGCCCCTGCATTGGGAGCACGGAGTCTTAACCACTGCGCCACCAAGGAAGTCCCAAGGTCTATTGATTTTCGATAAAGGTGCCTAGGCAGTTCAATGGAGAAGGGGTTTTCTCTTCAGCAAATGAGGCTGTAACAGTCCGTATGCTGGGGAAAAAAAGTACTTAGGCCCTTGCCTTGCATTGTTAATTCAAGATGGATCATAGACCTAAATGTTAGAGCTAAAACCAGAATACTCTTAGAAGAAAACACAGGAAAAAATCTTAATGACCTTGGTTTAAGCAAAGAGTTCTTAGATATGACACCAAAAGCATGAGCCATAAAATAATTGATAAATTAGACTGCATTTAAGTTAAAATATTTTGTAATTCAAAAGACACCATTAAGAAAATGAAAAGATAAGCCACAGTCTAGGAGAAAATATTTGCAAATCATAATGGACCACTTATACATCAAAATGTGCTGACATTTGGAATACAACATAATTGTCCTTAGCAATACAGCCTTTCCCCCATGTCATTGCGACTCTGCTGGGTGCCAGTATATTTAGAAAGTGACTCAAAAAGATGTTCCATTGGCCCAGAGGAGAATATGGATTCTGTGAAAAACTCACAGGCAGAGAGGTTAAACAGAAGGATGTGCAGGTGGGGAACCAGGAGGAAATAAATTTAGCTAGAGGAGGAGGAGAATGTAGAGGGGAAGGGAAGAACTGGGCATAGGAGAGTCAGATTATAGGTATCCCTAAAAGCCATGCCACAGAGACTACGGTGAACCTCAGAATGAGACTGACCAAG